GTTGTCTTTTTCCCAAGTTCTTGTTCCAAAGAGTTCATTTTGTGTGCTATGGGGGGTTTTTTTTTTTTTTTTTTGAGAATAACAAGTAACTTTAACAAAGGAGGTAGAGCACGGATGTGGCTCACAAAGTGCTTGGCAGCCTCCTGAGGTGAAAGGGCTGTGACAGAGGAGAGTTTTGAGCAGAAATATGTGTGTGTCCAGTTTTTAACTTCAAACTGGCTCTTGTTCCAAAAAGCTCGTTTTGTGTTTGTGCCTGACGTGCTGTGGAGGGTCTTTTTTTTTTTTTTGAGAATAGCAAGTAGCACTAACGAAGGGGATAGAGCATGGACGCGGCTCACAAAGTGCTTGGCAGCCTCCTGGGGTGAAAGGGGTGTGACAGAGCAGAGTTTTGAGCAGAAATACGTGTGTGTCCAGTTTTTAACTTCAAACTGGCATTATTGCTTGTGGGTGTTTGAATTATCTCCTCTATTTTTGCTCTTTTTTTCTTTCTTTTTTTTTTTTAATTAACGCGTTCTGGGGTTTGTTGTGGTTTGAGAAAACCCTTAAGAATTTATTGTCATTTAGACAATTATTCTATCACCCGGTGATCCCTCCCCACCCGGGAAAAGGAATAGGGGAAAACAAGGAAACGTTGAGTGTTGAAATATGAACAGATTTATAAGGATGAGACTAAATAATTAACAACAATAATAAAGAACTAGTATTCACAGAATCACAGAATATTCATGATTGGAAGGGACCTTTGAGATCATTGAGTCCAACCAATTATCACAATTAATCCTGATAGTAACATAAAATACACCAGGACCATCCCCAGCCTATTCCATCACAGGAAGCTGTGTGCTCCCAGCAGGGACAGCCAATGTGGGACACCACAAGTGCTGTGGCTTTGGGAGGAAGGGAAGGGCTCAGGGGTCTGGCACTGGGGCAAGAAGCTCTCAGGATCCCAGCCATCAAGGGAGAGAGAGAAACTTTTCAGCAAACTTTCTAATTTATATTGAATGTGATGTCCATGGTATGAAATAATGCAGCTGTCAGCTTGGGTCAAGTGTCCGGGTCTTGATCCTCATCCCTGCACCTGGAGAGCTTGAAAACACTGAGACCTTGAATCCTACACCCGGGTCTCGATCCTCATCCCTGCACCTGGAGAGCTCAAAAACACTGAGACCTTGAATCCTACACATCATAGCTGGCTATAAAGTAAATATATTCAGGGTTTGTTGTGGTTTGAGAAAACCCTTAAGAATTTATTGTCATTTAGACAATTATTCTATCACCCGGTGATCCCTCCCCACCCGGGAAAAGGAATAGGGGAAAACAAGGAAACGTTGAGTGTTGAAATATGAACAGATTTATAAGGATGAGACTAAATAATTAACAACAATAATAAAGAACTAGTATTCACAGAATCACAGAATATTCATGATTGGAAGGGACCTTTGAGATCATTGAGTCCAACCAATTATCACAATTAATCCTGATAGTAACATAAAATACACCAGGACCATCCCCAGCCTATTCCATCACAGGAAGCTGTGTGCTCCCAGCAGGGACAGCCAATGTGGGACACCACAAGTGCTGTGGCTTTGGGAGGAAGGGAAGGGCTCAGGGGTCTGGCACTGGGGCAAGAAGCTCTCAGGATCCCAGCCATCAAGGGAGAGAGAGAAACTTTTCAGCAAACTTTCTAATTTATATTGAATGTGATGTCCGTGGTATGAAATAATGCAGCTGTCAGCTTGGGTCAAGTGCCCGGGTCTCGATCCTCATCCCTGCACCTGGAGAGCTCAAAAACACTGAGACCTTGAATCCTACACATCATAGCTGGCTATAAAGTAAATATATTCAGAATTGGGTCACTAGAGTCTTCTAAAAGTGCAGTTTTCCCCAGCGTTAGAAGTTAGTCCTGTGTCACTCAAACCAGGACAGGTTTCTAATTGTTTGCCCCAGAACCTGCCTAAAAAATAATTGAATTAAATTGTGTGTTAGAGAGGAAAAAAGCACTGATCTTGCTGATGTTGATTACCTGAAAAGTGATTTGGAACCCATTCTGACCTCAGTCTCACCTGGGAGGTTGAAATATGAGAGTGGTTGAATGGTGAGTTTGGTTTGAGCTGGAGTTCAAAGAATTATGGAATGGTTTGGGTTGGAATGGACCTTAAAGATCACCCAGTTCCATCCCCCTGCCCTGGGCAGGGACACCTCCCACTAGAGCAGGTTGCTCAAAGCCCCCTCCAACCTTGCCTTGAACCCCTCCAGAGATGGGGCAGCCACAGCTTCTCTGGCCAACCTGTTCCAGGGTCTCACCACCCTCACAGCAAAGAAGTTCTTCCTAATGTCTCATCTCCATCTCCCCTCTTTCAGTGTCAAACCCTTCCCCCTCCTCTATTCAGAATTGGGTCACTAGAGTCTTCTAAAAGTGCAGTTTTCCCCAGCGTTAGAAGTTAGTCCTGTGTCACTCAAACCAGGACAGGTTTCTAATTGTTTGCCCCAGAACCTGCCTAAAAAATAATTGAATTAAATTGTGTGTTAGAGAGGAAAAAAGCACTGATCTTGCTGATGTTGATTACCTGAAAAGTGATTTCATTCTCTGTTGTGATGTGTGATGACCTCACAGGACCCATTCTCACCTCCGTCTCACCTGGGAGCGTTGCTGCTGCTCCAGGTTGAAACGTGAGAGTGGTTGAACGGTGAGTTTGGTTTGAGCTGGAGTTCAAAGAATTATGGAATGGTTTGGGTTGGAATGGACCTTAAAGATCACCCAGTTCCATCCCCCTGCCCTGGGCAGGGACACCTCCCACTAGAGCAGGTTGCTCAAAGCCCCCTCCAACCTTGCCTTGAACCCCTCCAGAGATGGGGCAGCCACAGCTTCTCTGGCCAACCTGTTCCAGGGTCTCACCACCCTCACAGCAAAGAAGTTCTTCCTAATGTCTCATCTCCATCTCCCCTCTTTCAGTGTCAAACCCTTCCCCCTCCTCCTATGGCTCCCCTCCTTGATCAAGAGTCCCTCCCCATCTCTCCTGGAGCCCCTTGAGGGACTGGAAGGGGCTCGAAGGTCTCCCCGGAGCCTTCTCTTCTCCAGGCTGAACCCCTCCAACTCTCTCAGCTTGTCCTCCCAGCAGAGGAGCTCCAGCACTTGGATCATCTCCATGTCCTCCTTTGGCCCAGCTCCAACATTGTTTTCTTGATCTTGCGCTAACTGGTGCCGTGCTGATGCTCCTGTGTTCAGAGTGTCATAGCTTTAGACAGCTACAGGGCTGCCTGCTACTCACGAGGTGCCATTTTTCGTTTCTGCCACATCATTTAAATCCTTCTGATGGATATTTTGACATTTATTCGGATTCTTGGATAAATTTTGATTTCAGTAAGAAAAGTCTGTTGAGCGGTAGAAGCCATGGGAGTCATCTGTCATCCACCAGCCCTACCGGAGTTCAGTCCCAGTAAGATGAAGCAGCTTTTAGATTTTAATTTCTCCATGTTATGGGTATGGTTTGGTGGATGGCACAGCTTCAGATGTATCCTTTAGTGCCATTTGTCCCCGTGCTGCCACCCCGGCTGTCACCGAGCCTGCCTGTAGACTTTCCAAGATGCTTTAGTTGATTTTTGCCCTGAAGACGTTTATTCACATAAGTGTTTGAATATATTTATTAAATGTTTCAGCCGGTCTTTAACGGAGACGTCCTTTTGTTGTTGCTGGGTGTTATCTGTAAATTAAGAAATGTTGATTAATGAACGTACTTAAAACAAGCGTAGTACCTCGTGTCTTTCTCTTCCTTGTCGCTTAGCAACAGAATTTCTCCCTGTGCCATCCCTGTTACTTCAGGAGCTCTGTATCCACAGCATCCTCTCTAATTCCTCTCCTTTTTTTCTTTCTGGAAGCCTTGTGAAAAGATTTGAGTAACTTCATCAACCCCTTGGCAGATGTAATAAAGCAAAATTGGATATCCAACAATCATTCACTTTGTCCCTGTAAACTTTGCCCAATTCCTCTGAAATCTTTTAAGCTTGTTAATGTTTATAATGAAAATTCCTCTCTCGTGAAGAGTATAGGGAAGGAAAACAGCTGGGTTAGAAATTTTGGGATTTTAGCTCCTTGAAACACACGTGGGGGATTTGTAGAGCTATGATACCTTCTCGTTTATGGATAATCTTAATTGCACTCTGATTCCTAACCAACATGCAGCTTACACCATGGTCTCTGTTTCTAAGTAAATCAAATGTGTGGAGTGTTGTGTTTATGTATAGGGAACCCCTCAAGGAAATATAAGTATCCACTGTTTCCCCCCAAAATCTGAGTGTTGGTGGTTTTCTGTTTATTCAGAATCACAGAATCTTCTAGGTTGGAAGGGACCTTAAAGATCATCTTGTCCAACCGTCAACCTAACTATATCCACTGTTTCCCCCCAAAATCTGAATGTTGCTGGTTTTCTGGTTTATTCCTTGGTTGCTCAAAGTGGTGGGAGTTCTCTGAAGGCAAAGGGGTTCATATGCTATTTCTATCCAGTACTAAGTGTTGGTTTTAATAGTTTAAATCTTGAATTAAGCCTTTTCCGATCTATTCCAGTGCGAGAAACAAGCCTTCTGGAAATGAAAGATGATACGGAACTGGATCCAGAGGAGAACAGCGCTGTCTTCATGGGCATCCTCATCAAAGGGCTGGCCAAGCTGAAGAAGATCCCTGAGACGGTGAAAGCCATCCAGGATCGCTTAGAACAAGAGCTCAAGCAGATCGTGAAGCGATCTACGACCCAGGTGGCAGACAATGGTTACCAGAGAGGGGAGAACCTGTCTCAGGAAAATCAGCCCAGGTAAGGATATTTCAACCACTGAACCTTGATTGCTGCCAAAAAAAATGTCTGGAGAAGGGTGTCGTATCTCTTAATTTCAATTGGAAGGAATCACAATAACATTTTTGCAGTAGCAGAGATCTGAAATCTCTGCAGCAGAGATTTTGCAGTAGCAAAGATCTAAAATTCTTAGGGGAAACAGTTTTAAATTGGAAGAAAAAAGATTCAGATTAGATCTCAGGAAGAACAGGGGGATTGGAACTCAATGATCTTTGAGGTCCCTTCCAACCCAAACCGTTCTATGATTCTATGATTCTATGAAATGGTAAAATTTTTTTGAAAAACCTGTGTCTCACTGGTGTGTCTTGAGCACCCAAAAGGCTTGGGAATTGAAGAAATGTGTTCAGAAAGGGGAGGCATTTTGCTGCTCTTATAAAGATGTGGGAAAGGGAGATGCTCCCTTTTGTGCTTGGCTCTAGAAGACAATGTTTTGACTAAACAGATGTTTGAAATGCTGTTTTGAGGGTGGAATTGTAGAATCATAGAATGGTTTAGGTTGGAAGGGACTTTAAAGATCATTCAGTTCCAACCCCCTGCCCTGGGCAGGGACACCTCCCACCAGACCAGGTTGCTCCAAGCCCCCTCCAACCTGGCCTTGAACCCCTCCAGGGATGGGGCAGCCACAGCTTCTCTGGGCAACCTGGGCCAGGCTCTCACCACTCTCACAGCAAAGAATTTCTTCCTGAGATCTCATCTAAATCTCCTCTCTTTGAGTTTAAAACCATTCTCCCTCATCCTATGGCTCCCCTTCCTGATCAAGAGTCCCTCCCCATCCCTCCTGTAGCCCCATTTAGGGACTGGAAGGCTTCTGGAAGCACATTATTTAACTAGTAAAGGGTGCATAATGTTAAGCACTTGGTTTTTATTTTATTTTTAACCCGACCTTTCTTTTTAAGCATCTTGACACCAGATTGGCCTGTAATGCTGTCTCAGATTGCTGGGCTGTGTGGTGTTTCTGGGAGCACATTATTTAATTAGCAAGGGGTTCATAATGTTAAGCACTTGGTTTTTATTTTATTTTTAACCCGACCTTTCTTTTTAAGCATCTTGACACCAGATTGGCCTGTAATGCTGTCTCAGGTTGCTGGGCTGTGTGGTGTAAAGAAAACCTGGTGCCAAAACAAATACTATTTTCTTGTGTTGCACTGAATCACGGCTTCACACCAAAGAGCTTCCCAAGTTCCTCTCTAATATGACTTGAGAAGTTTCAGCTCAGTTATTTATTTGTAGCAGAGTCCAATTAAGCTGATGCAGGTGCAAATCTTTGAAATCATATATGGAACTAATTATATCAGTAAATAAATGGCCACGTTTCTAATTGGCTTGCAGCCCCATTTGCATTAAAGCCAACCGAGAACTATGTGTCTGCTGTTCTTCAGGATTCACTAGAGCTGTTCTTTGGAAAATAGGACTCCGTAAGGACTGGCTCTCACTTCTAGCTGAAATGCTAATTTGTGATACTGCACGTTTTAATGATCACTGTCCAAATGGGAATTAATGGCAGAAAAGAAAAATTAAAACAAAAATTCGTGTCTTCATTATATGTGACATTTGTAGCGGAAAATCACTCCCAAGAAAAACTTTAACTTGATAAAGACTTCTTTTTTTTTTTTTTTAATTCCTGTAATTATCATTGCTGTGGAAACAATTATATTTTGAAGAAATGATAGAATTCCAGTATTGATAACTTGGTGAAATTATGACAAGCTTTTTGGGTGGGTCAGAAAGCAGAATTTTAGTTTCTGATGCAGAGATGGAGCTTAACATACACTCGATCCTTGTTTTATTAATCAGTCTTGAGAGATTCATTGGCTACTAATTGTCCATTAAAATCGATAAATTTGATCAGATCATATTTTAATGACATCAACCTGCCCAGAGGTTTGGGTAAGGTACAAAGAAGTGTTATGGATTTTGGCAGGTATTTAACAGTAGTTTGTGAGCCTTTAAGAATCTCATGTTCTATAGCTATGGAATGTGTCATGAATTCTTGGTGAATAAGGAGATAATTAGAACTGATTCTAAACCTAAATCACGTGGGAAGTTTACATCAAGCAGGTGAATTCATTTATAGTGAAAAGAATAAATTATAGTATGGAAAGGTATGCCGCCCCTTAAATTAGCTACAGTTTTAAATCAAAACTAAGTGACTTCCCTGCTGTCAAGAAAAAAATAAATCTGAACAACAAGGTCCTCCTATTTCAAGAGAGCTCCGTAAGACTCCAAATTTGAGCACGATGCAGCGCCTGAAACTGCTTAACTATTCATTAGGCTGTCAGCCCTGGTGTTGGCTTGACCTTAGGATTCGGTGAGTAAAATGTTTTTCAGTTCACCTTAAAACCAGTCACACTTGGATGCCTCTTCGTCTCAGTCACCGAGCTCCGTGTCTCTATTCAGCTTCACCGCTGTGCGGTGGCTCTCAATGGTTGGCTCTTATTTTTATTTTTTTTTTCATAGAATAGAATCATAGAATCATTGAGGTTGGAAGAGACCCTTGGGATCATCGAGTCCAACCATCTCCCCTACTCTACAAAGTCCTCCCCTACACCATATCCCTCAGTACCCCATCTAAACGTCCCTTAAACACATCCAGGGATGGTGACTCCACCAGCCTCCCTGGGCAGACCACTCTTTCTGTGAAAAATTCCTTCCTAATGTTCAATCTAACCCTACCCTGTTGGAGCTTGAAGCCGTTCCCTCTCGTTCTATTGTTAATTACCTGTGAGAAGAGACCAGCCCCAGCCTCTCTACAGTGTCCTTTCAAGTAGTTGTAGAGAGTGATGAGGTCTCCCCTCAGCCTCCTCTTCCTCATACTGAACAGCCCCAGCTCCTTCAGTCGCTCTTCATATGATTTGTCTTCCAGGCCCTTCACTAGTTTCGTTGCCCTCCTCTGCACTCGCTCCAGCACCTCGAGATCTCTCTTGTATTGAGGTGCCCAAAACTGGACACAATACTCGAGGTGTGGCCTCACCAGTGCTGAGTACAGGGGGACAATCACCTCCCTACTTCTGCTGGTCACACTATTTCTAATACAAGCCAGATGAAAAGGGTGGCGTTTCCCTGCACTTGAGGATGGAGCTGATAATCTGCTTGTGGAGGGTCTGGTGTAATTCTTTTTGGGACCTAATATAAAAATTACGTTGAGCCCTTTTATTGTACGAAAGAGAAATAACTTTTAGAGCCTGGCCAGAAAAGTTGTACATCTGTACAGTCACTGGGTCTGAAGAGATCAGACACTGACCTTGCATTTGGCTTAGTTTTGATTTGATAATTTCATAATTTGATTGCCTTTTGCCTCCTTGCATCCCTGGAGGTATCTAAAAGACACATAGGTGTGGTGCTGAGAGACGTGATTTAGTGGTGGTTTTAGCAGTGCTGGGTTAACGGTTGGACTTGATGATCTTAAAGGTCTTCTCCAACCGAAACAATTCTGTGATTCTACAGGCTTTTCCATATTGACTTGTGCCACCACTTTTTACATTTGTACATAGAACAATTATGAATTGCCCCCAAATTTTTAACATCAAGTAATGGTGTCCTTTACACCTCTGTGGGTGCTCTCCTCATAGATCTACAGGCAGTGGGCTCTTGGATTAGCTCTTCAGAGCTTCATGAGGTCTATTTTCTCATGTAGAAGACCCATAGCTCCTCTAAGCTTGCATCAGGCATCTTCATAAGCATGTCCATGAGAGCGAGCAGTGATGACAAAGTGGATAATGTGTGGCCCATTCGGTCATGGGCGTGTTGTCCTTTGATGTGAGCACTTGGTCTATTTGAGTAGAGAGTTGGTGTGGAATTAGAAGGGCTCATGCACTGAAGATGACACTAGCTTGGCTAAGGACCTTCAGATAATGTTCTTTCACCAGTAGGGTTACAGAAACCAGACTTACATGGACCCATAATACAACTGATCTTTAGGTTTCCTAAAAATGCAACATGGATGCAGTCACGTAGCATAAGGGACTTAGGAACATCTTTGGCTGACAGATACTTTGCTTTGAATAGAAACCCTCTTTACTAATGAGGGTTTATATTTCATGAGGGTCTTTACTTACCCTCATGAAATGAGAATGATACGAAGATAGTAAAACCCCATAAATGGCAGTAATAGGTTCCTAGTTGTTCCCTGTCACTGGTGGAAGATAATTTTGAAAACTGTTTGAGTCTCACCTAGTCACAGCTGCCCTTTTTTCAAAGTCTAGGTAAGCTCTAAAATTTTTAGATATCTTTGTTTGGAACAAGTTGATGAAAAAGGACTAAAATAAACAATTGCTGTTGTCTTATCCTTAATGAGAGGCTTATTAGAGCATGCTTAATATCTGCATGTTTAGAAATATATATCTTGGGTTGTGGAGGACAAGGTATCGTATAGAAGAGGCCATGTTGCTTTAGCTTGAAGTACTGCTAGATCTTAACGGACCTGTGGCTCTCTTCTGAATTATGGAAGGCCGTTGAATTCAGAATAATAATAATAATCTGGACATATGCCTACTTGAGGGCCACATTTATGGGCCAAGATTTTGGTAGGGATGCATTGCCATGGCTTTCCTTCTCATTGAATCATAGAACGGTTCGTGTTGGAAGGAACCTTAAAGATCATCCAGTTCCAACCCCCTGCCCTGGGCAGGGACACCTCCCACCAGACCAGGTTGCTCCAAGCCCCCTCCAACCTGGCCTTGAACCCCTCCAGGGATGGGACAAGGGATGAAAATCACCCAAGAAGAGGAAGTGTATTGAGAATTTTGCTACTAAATCCTATTGAGTGGATTCAATGCGCTTTTCCGTATTTGTCCATAACACGCTTCTGGCTTTTTTTCCCTCATCTCGAGGCTTTAAAATAAATGCAAAAAATATATACACACTAACACTCTGAGCAGACAAAGGACGTTATTGCTACTAAAATGCATGAATTGTCATTAGGGCCCTCAATCAGGTGCCAGCAGTCACTCTGCATCACTTCATTCTCCGTCATTGCCTGGAGAAGAGGAGGCGCTTCTGGGTGTGTGTCACCATCTCTCCACATATTTACCATATTTCTCCAGGAAGGGGTTATGAGATTGCTTTGACAAATTGCCTAAACCAGTCTCCTGTCATTCCCGGTACGTGTTGTGTGTAGGTCACCCAGTTCTGCAACCCCGAATGCATAAAATCTAGGCCATATTATTTTATGCTGTTTTGTCTTGTTGGCTGCCTGACACCGACTGTGTCTGTGTCTCTTCCTGGGTCACCTTGTTTCAAAACTGACCTGACAGATTTAGAAGACTTTTAGAGAAAAGAAAAATTAAGATAAGTGGTGCTGACTAATTCAAAAAGAGGGAGATGTGGAAATAGGATGTGGTTGAGAATGGAAAATGTGATGGGGAGGTACTTAGCACCACCGAAGAAGGTGGATGGGAGAGATGTCACGTCTGTCGGTCTATCACATGAGAATGGGAAGACGTTGGGATTTAAAACCAAATAATTCTGTTCGGTGTGATACTATTTTAGTAATGGCTCCATAAAGGAGTTGTTAATGTGAGGTCAGGCTCACCTAGGGATAATAAAACTGAACTTGTCAGAATACCCAGTTAGTTCAGTTTTACGAAATTGTACTTTCCTGGGGCACCAAGGAGGTGTACGGGTAATTAAATTTTCATTAGTAATGGGGTGTTAGCAGAAGTTGGGCTGGCACTGACAGATTTTCTCAGTGGCATATAATTAATTTGCTCCCATAACGTTCTCTTTTTTGTGATTTCAACCCAGGCTGTTTGTATGTTCCCCTGAAATGACATTCCTCCTCTCTCCAAATCGTTTTACAGCTGGTTCTCCTCCTATTTTTGCCTGGCTCTTGGCCGACGAGCCACTTGCCCTGGCTGCCCCTCTGTCTCTTGCTGGGAGAAGTTCTATATGTCTCTTGGGGGCTGTCAAAGCACTAGTTTCCTCTCCCGTGTCCTAGCGTGGGTTGGAGAAAATACTCACTTAACAGTGATGGAGGGTGGTTTTGAGGCAGCTTCACCTCAACGTTGTCCTGGCTCCTTAATTGGTAGCACTGGTGCTTGGCTGACAGGAGGTAGGGAAGGAGGACCTTTATGAAGCTTTATGCAAATCCTAAATGGAAGAGAATGGCTTTTCTTCCACTTCGTCTTTTTATGCCCTACCAGGATCTTAAGTTCGTAAAGACCTGTGAAAAAGCAGTGTTTTCTCTTAGTACCAACAACGCTTTTCTTGAGGCATTTATTCCTGTCCTTAAATGGGAAGAAAATTGATATATGCACCAGTTTCTTTTGGATTGCTTAAATATGTCTTAATTCTATAGTCACTAAAGGTATGGCAATAATAATCATAGAATCATAGAATCATAGAATTGCCCAGGACAGAAGGGACCTCCAAAGGTCATCTAGTCCGACCCCCCGCAGTCAGCAGGGACACCCCCAACTAGACCAGGTTGCCCAGGGCCTCGTCGAGCCTTCCCTTGAATATCTCCAGGGAAGGGGCCTCAACCACCTCCCTGGGCAACCTGTTCCAGTGCTCCACCACCCTCACAGTGAAGAACCCTCTCCTCATCTCCAGTCTAAATCTGTTCCCCTCCAGCTTGAAGCCATTGCCCCTCGTCCTGTCACTGCAGGCCTTTCTAAACAGGCTCTCCCCAGCCTTCCTGTAGGCTCCCTTCAGGTACTGGAAGGCTGCTATTAGGTCTCCCCGGAGCCTCCTCTTCTCCAGGCTGAACAACCCCAGCTCCCTCAGCCTGTCCTCGTAGCAGAGGTGCTCCATCCCCCTGATCATCCTTGTGGCCCTCCTCTGGACCCTCTCCATCAGGTCCATGTCCTTCTTATATTGAGGGCTCCAGACCTGCACACAATACTCCAGGTGAGGTCTCACCAGAGCAGCTACAACTCCCTGAAAGGAGGGGCTAGCAAGGTCAAAGTTGGTCTCTTCTCCCAAGTAAGCCATGATAGGACAAGAGGAAACAGCCTCAAGTTGCACCAGGGGAGGTTTAGGATGGATATTGGGAAACATTTCTTCACTGGAGGGGTTGTCAAGCCTTGGAAGAGGCTGCCCAGGGAAGTGGTGGAGTCACCATCCCTGGAGGGATTTAAAAGCTGGGCAGACGTGGTGCTGAGGGACATGGGTTAGTGGTGGGTTTTTGTCAGTGTTGGGTTGATGGTTGGACTTGATGATCTGAAAGGTCCTTTCCAACCCAGACAATTCTATGATTCCACAACTCATAAACACATCTTTATTTTTAATATGACATGTATTTAACTAACGCAGGAGACTGAAGTGTGGTGGTGAAGGAAATTCTGCTGTAGCTCTTCTGTCCTGCTCTGGGGACGACAACTTCTGCTGGGGAGGCACAGGAAGCGTGTGGGAACTCCTAAGCTGCTGCAGTGACATGTGATGGAGCCTGTCTGTCAGAGCTAGAAGTGCCAAACATATGGATTTGGGAAGTGTGATCCTCACATTTTGTTGGGGTTACGCGTGTACTTGAATTGCTCATTAAACGGCAGTGAACTCCACCACAATTTTTCTTTTCTCAAATAATGAAAAAACCGTGTTGAGTCATTGCCTTATCACAAAATATTTAGGACTTTGCAAAGGTATGTTAATTACAATAATTGGGCAGTAAGGAAGCCGTAGGAGCAGGTGAAGTGTAGTGATTTAGATGAGGTTACGCTGTAGCATCTTCCATAGAGTAAGTGAAACCTTGAAGTTGATGAGGTTCGGTTTCTGATCTTTTGTGTTGTTTAAAACCTGCCATAATGCTAATTTCATAATTTAAAATGAATATCCTGTGTTCTGTTTGCATGGTTAGGTCAACTTTTATTAACTTGAGACGCTTATTTTCTTCTGATGGGAAGAGCAGGTTGTCTCTCTCCCTCTCTGGAGCTCTATCTGAGAACTTAAATTGGTCTCTAATATCATGGGACCAAAGTGTAGTTACTGGGTAGTTACTGATGGTTTTGTCTTTCCTGTAGCCCCAAAGAGAACACGTTATAATTAAGCAACTCTTGAGATAGAGGAGGGAGTGAGAAGGAAGATCCTCAGAAGGATTTAGGTACCCAACCTGAGCTGGTGACAGCTGACGTTGGTCACCTGAAGCCTCTAGAGAGGGTTTGAAGCTGGGTGACCTCCCGCCTTGCACGCAGCATCTGTCACAAAACAGGGGCTGTGACATCATGGTTCTTCTGGGCCCCTGAGTTCAAGGAGGACAGGGAACTGCTGAGAGTCCAGCGGAGGCTACACAGGTGATGAGGGGACTGGAGCGTCTCTCTGATGGGGAAGGGCTGAGAGACCTGGGGCTGTTTAGTCTGGAGAAGACTGAGAGGGGATCTCATCAATGCTGAGCAATATCTAAAGGGTGGGTGGCAAGAAAATGGGGTCAAACTTTTCTCAGTGGTGCCAAGCGACAGGAGAAGAGGAAATGGGCACAAACTTGAACGCAGGAAATTCCATCTCAACACGAGGAAGAACTTTCCTGTGAGACTGTGTTCAGTTTTGGGCCCCTCACTACAGGAAAGACATTGAAGTGCTGGAGCATGTCCAGAGGAGAGCCACCAAGCTGGTGAGGGGTCTGGAGAACAAGTCCTATGAGGAGAGGCTGAGGGAACTAGGCGTGATTAGTTTGGAAAGAGGAGGCTGAGGGGAGACCTCATTGCCCTCTACAACTACCTGAAAGGAGGTTGTAGAGAGGCAGGTGTTGGCCTCTTCTCCCAAAGGACAAACGACAAGACCAGAGGAAATGGTCTGAAGTTGGGGCAAGGGAGATTTAGATTAGATATTAGAAAGAATTACTTTACTGAGAGAGTGGTCAGGCACTGGAACAGCCTGTCCAGGGAGGGGGTGGAGTCACCATCCCTGGAGGTATTTAAGAAACGT